TATATTTGGACTTTTTATGAAGTTCAAAAATTATATTTTTTATTCAGAACTACTCTTCATATATTTTTTCCAGAACTGTGTTCACTGATTCTTATTTAAACAGATCTCTCACTGATCTCAAAAGACAGTTCATTACAACTAAATGTATTTAAGAACATTATGAAAATAGCAACTTAACACATTTTCAGAATATTATTTATAAAAGAGAATATCAGTCCATTTTGCTCCATTCTGCCACATAAATCCCAATAAATCAATCGGAGTCTGAGGTTTGTTTGTAATTAACTGTGAAGAGATTAAAGTAAATTAATCTGCTTGAAGGGAAACGTCTTTAGAGATCTTAGAGTCAGATAAGATTAGACTTTGTCTGCCGCTCAGGCTACAACTGAATCTCTGCCTCAAAAACTATTTTCTTTGGTTTTGTTTGGCGTTTCTATAGGTTTATTACTAACTTAAACATAAAAACTAATAGTGCAATAAAACATGGGACAGATGTTCTTAAAGTAAAAATATATCTCTATCTATAGATATATAGAAACATGTTACTTTACCCAACCTGTGGCCCTTCTGTTGTTGAAAGGATAAAATAAGACCAATGGTTGTCATTATGACTCCATTCTGCTCTATCAGGGAAAATTAGGTTTAAAAGGTGAAAACGTTCTGTCTAATCTGGCTGCTGCTGGTTGTGTTTTAGTGTCAGAGGACATAGAGAGCAGAGAGGAGATGGTGACGGTCACAGAAACAGGAATCACACAGGCCAAAACGTGAGTTTTAAACATCCAAACCTTCAGTGTCTGCTTTCTCCGAGCTGCAGCTGAACGCGGGTTTTGCTTCTCCGCAGCTTTGCCGTCGAGACGAGGGAGCAGACGGAGGTGAGCGCCGGAGAATCTGCTGCTCCCTTCTTCATTAAGAAACCCGTCCCCCAGAAGCTGGTGGAGGGAGGGAGTGTCGTGTTTGAGTGTCAGATCGCAGGAAACCCCAAACCTCACATAATTTGGAAGAAGAGTGGTGTTCCGCTCACCACTGGATACAGGTACGCTCCACGGTGCCCCCCTCATCGGGTTTATAATATAGAACTTGGTTCAGAGAAGATGATGCACTGTTTTCTTCCTTCAGATACAAAGTTGCCTACAAGAAGGACACTGGAGAATGCAGACTGGAGATCTCTATGACTTTCGCTGACGATGCTGGAGAATACTCTGTCTTTGCTAAGAATCCACTTGGAGAAGCTTCAGCCTCTGCCATCCTACTGGATGAAGGTACCTCCGTCTCTGGTTATCATCCTCATCTCTACGTTTATTGGACTAGCCTCTCACTACATTTCTCTTCGCAGAGCAATATGAAGCCTACATGAAGCAGCAGGACGTGACCTATAAAACCGAAGTGACAACCACCGTGATCCAGGAACCCCCTCCAGTCGTGACTCAGTACGAGTTCGAACAAAGGAGGGTGACGACTCCAATGAGCTTCGTCTCAGAGACGGTAACCTTTCCATCAGATCTGTGACCTTACAGGCTAAGCTATCCACCTCTAGGCTAATGGGAATGTCGTCCTCTTCCAGGAGTTCATGATTTCAGCGTTTGAAGAGAGGATCATCCAGGAGATCGAGATCCGCATCTTGAGGATCTCCTACAGAGAGTTGGTGACGGAGGACGGAGAGCTGATGGTGACTGTCGCAGAGGACCAGGCTCTGCAGCCGGCCTTTGAAACACCAGTGAAAAACTATCGGATCATGGAGGGAATGGGAGTCACCTTCCACTGCAGGGTGTCTGGAACGCCACTCCCCAAGGTGCAAAAAAGTTACTTGCCCCATCTCTTTAATGTATAGATCAGGCAAATCAGATCTGAACTTGTCTGTGTGGTAGTGATGATCTTGCTCTGGCTCAGGGAGTTTCTTTGTTAGTTTTATGATCCCTTAAATATTTTGTAGAGCCTCTGTTTAACAATTTCCTGTACAGAAAGCTGAAACGAACATTTTCAGGATTACTTCATTGATATGAATGAAAACCTTCTGCAGATCGTTTGGTACAAAGATGGTCAGCGCATCAGACCCGGTGGGCGGTACCAGATGGAGGTTCTCCAAGATGGACGAGCCAGCCTCCGTATGTCTGTGGTCCAACCAGAGGATGAAGGAGTGTACACAGCCTTCGCCTCAAACATGAAGGGAAATGCTGTCAGCTCTGGGAAGCTCTACGTGGAGCCCTCTGGAGGTGTAACCCCTCCCAGATACACGCCACAGCCGTCCATGCAGCGGATCAGGTCAGTGTTAAAGATCTGCTGATCTAATACTCCAGGTGTAAATAATGGGTCGAAACATGCCGGTTAACCGATACAATGGCGATTCCCTCTTTAGATCCGCCTCTCCTCGCTCCCTGAGCCGCTCCCCCGGTCGCTCTTCGAGCCGTTCGCCAGGACGTTCTCCGGCTCGCCGACTCGAAGAGACAGATGAAGCTCACCTGGATAGACTCTACAAACCAGTGTTTGTCCTTAAGCCTTCCTCCATAAAGTGCTCAGAGGGTCAAACCACAAGATTTGACTTGAAGGTTGTCGGCAGGCCAATGCCTGAAACCTACTGGTTCCATAACGGTGAGATAGATGGTGTTAGAAAATGTTTAGTAACATTTTATTTTTTGTTTGGCCTCTAAGAAATTAAGATCTTAATTTTCCTTCATTTTCAGGACAACAAATCGTCAATGACTTCACACACAAGATAGTGATTAAAGAGGACGGTACCCAGTCCCTGATCATCGTCCCGGCTGTTCCAAAAGACTCCGGAGAATGGACGGTTGTGGCTCAGAACAGAGCTGGACGAACGTCTGTATCCGTAACTCTCTCAGTTGAACGTAAGTCTGAATTTGGTTAAACCTAAAGGAACCTTCATAAGTCGCCATTACAGACATCCTAATTCTCCCGGAAGTTCTGGGAGTCTCCCTGATATAGATAGTTGTTCACGGATGCCGTGAGTTGTATAAATTATCCCGGATTTTAGACTTTGCAAGGTGGTGATTTTTTTTAATGCGAGTGAAAGCGGGCAGACAGTACAATAATTTGTGTATCATGTGCGGATTAGAACCACTAAGATTGCACATACAGCAAGAGAGCGCTGGGTGTGAGGAGGAGGTTACTGGTGAAACCTGTGCAGCTTGTCTGTCCAAACCGATGCTCTGTTCAACCAGCGTTCCAGGCCACCGGTTGTCAGAGCGCTGATTGGATTAGTCAGAAAAATAAGCCAATAAGTTTCAGTTTACACTTTTACAGTCGCCTCATTTTACAGCAGAATATACTAAAGTGTATCCATGTCAAGTGAAGGTGAAGAATGATGGAGTGTGCAAATCACACAAACAAAAATAATTTTAGGCAATTATTTATTTAAAAAAAACATGGGCACAGATGATTAATGCAAGCACATGAGCAACTATTTTATGGCACTTATTTATTATTATAAAGCATCATAAATAAATTATACAATAAGATGGTGATTTTCTGCATCATGAAATATCTACCTGAACCAAACTGAATTGGCCCACGTGAACTTAACCGTATATCACTAATCCACTACTGATGAAGGCACAATTTATCTTTATTAAATACTTGAAAACTGAAAGCTTGAAATGTGCAACTGTGAAAGAAAAAACAAAAAAACACCTCTACATACAAACTTGTGTCTGTGTTTATAATTTCTATTCCGGCCCATGATGGTGATAATCTTATGAGGTGTGTTTATCATGGCCAGAAAGATGGGACAGCTGTATGTTCATTTTCTTTTTTAATGTAAACAGGAGCATCTTGGCCAATAGTAGCTGGTGGAGTTTTCTCTGGGGGGGGCTATAAATTCAGAATAGACATATACCAAAAACCAGTCAAACGTATACTAAGTTATCTCACCAGTATATTTATATGAATGCCAACAACAAAAAACATTATAAAAACAAAACATAATTTCCTGAACAGAGGTTGTAGTTGTTTGGTTCAATAAGCATCTCCCTGAAATGGGTTTTTGGAACTTTGGATGTCTGTCATTATTAACTGTGGTGTTACTCTGGGATCTGCAGCCAGAGAAAGCGTATCCAGACCACAGTTTGTGGAGAAGCTGAAGAACATCACCGTGAGGCAGGGCACGCTGGTGGAACTGGCTGTCAAAGCCATTGGAAACCCCCTGCCAGACATTGTTTGGCTGAAAAACAGCGACATCATCAGCCCACAGAAGCACCCACACATCAGGTAAGTCTTACCTCATCGACAAAAGATTCTCTGTCACTTTAAAGCAGGTGGTTTGTTGGCTGACTTGGCTGGATGCTTTTTCTAGGATTGAAGGAATCAAAGGAGAAGCCAAATTTCAAATCCCTTCAGCTGCCGGCTCTGACAGTGCCTGGTACACCGCCACAGCCATCAACAAGGCTGGCAGAGACACCACCCGCTGCAGAGTCAACGTTGAAGTCGACCACGCTGCCCCTCAGATTGAGAGGAAGCTCATAATTCCTAAAGGAACCTACAAGGCAAAGGAGATCGCAGCTCCTGAGCTGGAGCCGCTCCATATGCGCTATGGCCAAGAGCAGTGGGAGGAAGGTGACCTTTATGACAAGGAGAAGCAACAGAAACCAGTGTTCAAGAAGAAGCTGACCTCCATCAGGATGAAGCGTTTCGGTCCGGCTCATTTCGAGTGTAGGCTCACTCCCATCGGAGACCCCACCATGGTGGTGGAGTGGCTGCATGACGGGAAGCCTCTGGCTGCTGCTAACAGGCTGCGGATGGTCAACGAGTTTGGCTACTGCAGCCTTGACTACGAGGTCGCTTACGCTAGAGACAGCGGCGTGATTACCTGTAGAGCCACCAACAAGTTTGGAGTTGACCAGACCTCAGCTACCCTGATTGTCAAGGACGAGAAGGGCCTCGTTGAGGAATCCCAGCTCCCTGAAGGCAGGAAGGGAGCCTATCGAATGGATGAAATTGAGCGTTTTGCTCATGAAGGAGGGCCTGCAGGGGTCAGCCTTGATGAAGAATCCGAAAAGACAAAACCTGATATTGTCTTGCTTCCAGAACCAGCAAGGGTGCTGGAAGGGGACATTGCTCGGTTCCGCTGCAGGGTGACTGGCTACCCGGCTCCAAAGGTTAATTGGTACCTTAACGGACAACTCATCCGCAAAAGCAAGAGATACCGACTCCGTTACGATGGAATCTACTACCTGGAGATCGTAGATGTCAAGTCCTACGACTCTGGTGAGGTCAGAGTAGTTGCAGATAACCCATTAGGCACGACCGAGCACACCGTGAAGCTGGAGATCCAACAGAGAGAGGACTTTAGATCAGTACTGCGGCGTGCCCCAGAACCCAAAGCTGCTGAGGTCTCTCATGACTCCGGCAAAATCGGATTTGATATCGTCAAGGTAGACAGACCTAGCGAGGTCCCACAAGACAGGGAAGTCGTTATGCTACGTAAGGCCCAGAGAATTGTTCATGAGAAAACCTCAGAGGAGTCTGATGAGCTAAAGAGCAAGTTCAAGCGCAGAACGGAGGAGGGTTTCTACGAGTCTATATCTGCAGTCGAGTTCAAGTCTCGCAAGAGGGACGACTCCTATGAAGATTTACTAAAGAAGACTAAAGATGAGCTGCTTCATCACATGAAGGAGGTAGAAGAGGCTGAAAGGAGGAGGCTGGAAGAGCAAGGAAACATCACCATCCCCACGATCAAACCAGAGAGGATCCAGCTGTCACCCAGCATGGAGGCTCCACACATCCTGGAACGCATAGCAAGCCAGACTGTTTCTCCAAAAGATGAGGTTCACTTTAGAGTCAGAGTGGTTGGCAGACCTGAGCCTGAGTGCCAGTGGTTCAAGAACGGTGTCCTGCTTGAAAAATCGGAGCGTGTCTACTGGTATTGGCCAGAAGATAATGTGTGTGAACTGGTAATCCTAGATGTTACAGCAGAGGACTCTGCAAGCATCATGGTCAAGGCCATAAATGTCGCCGGAGAGTCCTCCAGCCACGCCTTCCTCCTGGTGCAAGGTAAATCCACATGCAAAATCCTTTCTTTTACGTTCTTATCATGTTTCTTCTGACCTCAAAGTTTAATTATGTGATTCTTTTGCAGCCAAGACAGCCATTAGTTTTACTCAAAACCTAGCAGATGTCAATGCCAATGAGAAGGACACCATGGTGACCTTTGAATGTGAAACCAACGAACCATTTGTCAAGGTCAAATGGCTGAAGAATAATGATGAGATTTTCTCAGGAGACAAATACAGAATGCATTCTGACAGGAAGGTCCACTTCCTGTCTGTGCTGATGATAGAAATGAGCGATGATGCCGAATACTCCTGTGTTGTCATTGACGACGAAAACATCAGGACAAGCGCAAGGCTGCAAGTAGAAGGTATTTACTCCTGATTCCTATTTAATAATGTCAGGTTTGTGTGTAAATCAGATCAAGGTTCTTGATGTTCTTCTGTACCTCAGGTGCTGCTCTGGAGCTTATCAAACCCCTGGAGAGCATCGAGGTACCAGAGAGCTACGCTGGAGAGTTTGAGGTTGAGGTGTCCCGCGAAGATGCTGAGGGAACGTGGTTCTTTGGAGAGAAGGAGCTCTCTCCCAGTAGCAAATATGTCATATCCTCCCGCCGAGGACGACACACACTGGCCGTTAAGGACGTCAGGAAGGAAGACCAGGGAAAGTACACCTTTGTTTGTGGAGATCTGAGCACCAGTGCCGCGCTAAAAATGAAATGTAAGCATTTTAGAAGACTGTTGACTCAAAGCAAATATAGCATATATTTCTAATCTTATTTCTCATAGCAACATTTGATTATTGGTTGATGAACATGTTTGTGCTCCATGCAGTGCGCCCAGTGACCCTGATGCAACCGCTGACTGACCTCACTATCTGTGAGGGGGACATTGCTCAGCTGGAGGTCAGGTTCTCTCAGGAGAACGTCGAAGGAAACTGGCTTAAAAACGGCCAAGCAATCTCCGCCTCAGACCGTGTCCACATCGTCATTGACAAACATGTACACAAACTGCTAGTGGAGAACGTCAGCAGAGAAGATACGGCGTCCTACTCCTTCATAGTTCCAACTCACGACATCTCCACCTCGTGCAAACTCAATGTGCAGAGTAAGCGTTGGGTTTCTCATGAAAGTGAATGCACCACTCCACCTTGGTCCATTTGGTCTTTACTTTGTACTTTATTTCCTTAAAGCCATTGACATCGTGGTGCCGTTGAAGGACGTTTCGTCCACCGAGGGCACAAAGGCGGTCCTTGAGTCCAAGATCTCTGCTCAGGACATCAGCTCTGTCAAATGGTACCACAACGACAAACTGCTGATGCCCAGTGACCGCGTCCAGGCTGTGGCAAAGGGTGCCAAGCAGCGCTTGGTCTTCACCAGGACCTTTGCTTCAGACGAAGGACGATACAAACTGGTGGTTGGCAAGGTGGAAACCAGCTGCAACCTGACTGTTGAACGTAAGTTGGATTACATTTTCTCCTCATGAGGTTTGTAAGTTTCAGTCCTAATGTCATGATGGTTGTCCTAACAGAGGTCCAGATTGTGAAGCACATGGAGGACAAAGTCTGCTCAGAGTCCCAGAACGTTACCTTCAGCGTGGAAGTTTCACATCCTGGTATCGACCCCCTGTGGACCTTCAGAAACCAGCAGCTCAAGGCTGGGGCCAAATACAAGATAGAATCCAAGGGTACTTCTCACTCTCTGGTGGTCTTTGACACCATGAAGGATGAGGAGGGCCAGTACATGTTCCACGCTGGAGAAAAGACATCCAGTGCTCAGCTCACTGTCTCTGGTAGGTGAAAACTCAAAGCTATGAAGAAGTTCAGTCAGTTAGGCATACATTGACTTGATTTTTTTGCTGGGGGCAGGTGATCATCTGCAGGCTGGATTTAAAGCCGCTGTTGTTGTCACCTTTTTCTCCCTCTCTGCCCAAATCAGCATCAATAATACTTTAAAGCATTTCTCAATCCTCTTTTGCTTTCATGCTATGTTCACACCTTACGCAATTTGAGCAGCTGGAGCAACCACTTTAAATGCAAAGTCTATGGTTGACACTCATCAAAAGGTCTTGCAGTGCATCTAGAGCAGCAGGAGCAGGGCATCTGGACGGATCTAGAGTAGCAGGAGCGGCGCCTCATAAGCTTCTGAGGATCTGAGGCGCGTGACACGCTTCACTAGCGGCAGCCAAAGTTGGAAAAATTACATTTTTGCTGCCCTACGTGCTACATCAACCAATCAGAGAAGCTGATCTGGGAGCTGGCAGGGAGACGGACACATCGCTGCTGATGGAGAGCGCTATGATCACTCCAGTAAAACAGTTTAAACACCTAAATCAACTTAAAATATCAAAACCTGCCGGCACAATATGTTCACTTTTATTATCCTGCTGCCTGCAGTTTGTGCCACATACCTATAAAGCGCTAACATCTACTTCTAGCTGCCACCTACAGTAAGGGGAAATCCCCAAGAAGTTACTGAGCCTGAGGCAGCTGCTTCTGGGGATTCCCAGTGAGAGCAAATCGGCAGTTTGCGGGGATCTGCACGCTCCGTCAGAGAAATATTATTTTAAGGCAGGATGGTAATCTGGAAGAACTGAGTGCACAGTCAATGATTTAAGGTGGACTTTCTCAGTTAAAAATAGATTCAAGCTACTTTTTACTTTTCATTGATCACAGCAAATATAACAACACCACTCTCTGCTACTGAGCACAGGAGCAGCAGAAGCATCAGACACATTTGTCCACACTTTAGTGGATGTGCTTTAGGAGCATAAAAGAAGCTCTTCAGGTGTGTCTGACCTTTATTTGTACAAGCATCAAAAATGAAGCAGCAGGCGCTTTTTTGCTGCTAAAATCTTATGCGGTGTGAACGTAGCATTGGAGTTCCTCTAAAAGCTATTTTAGTGACGACTTTAGCAAGGAATTCTGGAGTGTTCAGGATAGGCAACCAAAAAGTACATGTTTTTTTTTTATTTCAGTATTTTTAGAAAACAAAAACAGTATGGAAATAAAGGTGATAGAGAAATAGGGAAGGTTACATAACAAGACCAACCAAATATTAATGTTTCAAAACTTTCAATTCAAAATCTGAAAGCCATCAATATGACCACATTAGGGGTTCTAGTGGTAAGCAGATGAATGCGGTCGCTGTTTCATGTGTTGGTCAAAATAAGTCATCTGGTTTCAACTGTAAATTAACAACAAAACAACAGGGGAAATACAACATAGTCACAGCTGTTTCTTTATGCAACCACCAGGTGGAGCCATCACACGTCCACTGCAGGACGTGGCGGTCGCCGAGTCTCAGACTGCTGAGTTTGAATGTGAAGTCGCCAACGCAGACGCTGAAGGCAAGTGGCTGAAGGACGGTCAGCCCGTGGACTTCAATGACAACACTGTGAGCGAGGTGAACGGGGCGGTCAGACGCCTCGTCATCGTCATCACCCGACCACAGGATGTCGGAGAGTACACCTATCAGGTGGCCAACTCTAAAACCAGCGCCAACCTCAAGGTGGAGGGTGAGTACCAGCTTCCCAAACCATTCAGTCACAAGACAAGAAGCTGGAGAGAAGGTAATCCGAGGATAAACGTGGAATTAATGAGTTCCTCTCTTTTTGACTGCAGCGGTGAAGATCAGGAAGACTTTAAGGAACCAGACAGTCACAGAGACCCAGGAGGCCATGTTCTCTCTGGAACTCACCCACCCGGACGTGAAAGGATCCCAGTGGATCCGGAACGGAGTTGAACTGCAGAACAGCGACAAGTTCGAGATCATCTCAGAGGGAACGATCCAGACTCTGAAGGTCAAGGACTGCAACACACAGGACGAGACGGTTTATTCCTTCAAACTGGGAAAACTGTCCGCCAACGCCAGACTCAACGTAGAGAGTGAGTACCTCTACCCCTAAACACAATACCGTCCAGCAGGTTTTTCTTTCTGTTTAGTTACCCCTACTACTCTTTATCTCTGTAGCGATCAAGATTGTCAAGAAGATTAAGGATGTGAAATCCCTGCTGGACGGCACAGCCTCCTTCGAGCTCAGCCTGTCGCACGACAACGTCCCTGTGAAGTGGATGTTCAAGGGCGTCGAGCTGAAGTCGAGCGAGAAGTGCAAGATTCTGTCGGAGAGAAAAGCTCACAAACTGATCCTGCAGAACGTGGACAGCAGCAACGCAGGAGAGTACACAGCTGTGGTTGGACACCTGCAGTGCAGCGCCGTGCTTACTGTAGAGGGTACGCAACACTGAACACGCTGTCATGAATTATTAAGAAGGAAAAACTTTCAATAAAGAAAGTGATATAAACTACATTTACTCTACAATGTTTTTTTCTTTTCTCCTCTAAAC